ACTTTAAAACCAATGAAAAGTTTGATTATGTAGCGTGAAAACAACTCTCGTTTAACTGTCATTTTTATAAACAAAACCAGTTGCAAATATGACAGACTACTTAGGCAACTGGGCGTACACATAATAAATGAAACACATTGTGTTTAACACAATGTTTGTATAAATTCTCATAACGTCATAATAAAAGAACTTTTAATCATTTTTTTTAATAATTATTTTGTATTAGGTACCTATTTCTTTTTGAGATGCAAATCACTTTTCATGTATAAACACACATGCGCATTAGCTTAAAATAATGTTTTCTGTGTAGTTGGCTGTGTGAGTTTTTATTTTTAACTGTCAAATTAAAGTAAATCGCGTTTCAGTTACTTGTGGATGTTTTCTTAAACATAATTTGGACAAAAAACTAAGTTTGTGTGTATTAATGTGGATCTTTAGTCTGTATTGTGGTATAAATTTAAAAAAACACAAAAATATACCTATAAGGTAGGTAGGTAAGTAAGTTTTATTAATTAAAATACCTACCTAATTAAATTCAAGAATTTAGAGTCGAGACATTTTGAGACGCTTAACCCTTCTTTTGCTTGTAAGATACTTCATTACCTATACGAATTCTATTCCGAAAGGGGTTATATATCCCAATTGCATGTGTCAACGTTTTTTACTCGTTTAAAATTTGCATGAATTGCAGATTTTTAAGGGGCTTATTGAAATAATTTGACAAGGATTCTGTTTAAACATAATAAATTTTTGATTTCGGTATAAGGATAAACAATAATGGAAGGTTCATGGCGTTGACTTTCAGTCAACGGTAATGTTGACGTTGACATTATAGGTTATGTGGATGAATTTGCCTACACTGATTTAGAACTATATTCGATAGAACCACTTTTCGTATGTAATTTCAGGCAGTATTTTCATTATTGTACAGCGGTATATAATAATTTGACTTGTAACTGCGTACAAATCTATAAATGCGTAGGTATAAGTGTTATGATATGAAATTTTTCTACCGAACTATGAATTTAAATTTTACCACCTAAGTTTATAAATTCAGTATATTTGTTTTTGGCTATTATTGGACGTTAAAATAATGTTTAATTTCTTTTGTGTGTTTTTTAATTTTTATTATTTTGTATACGATAAATCCTGACAGTCTAAAAGGTGGAATGACAAACTTTTTGAAAGAAAAATAAATCGTTTTATCTCGTTTTCTATTGGTTTGACAAAAAAAGTTTTAAAACAAAAAATGTAGAGATTAAAATTTTTACTATATTTGTCCTTGGGCAAAACGTTCTATATTTAGTTCCTAAAAATATAGAGGTCGTTAAAGTTCACAAAAATTAGTTTTTTTATGGTTTGGCCCTCTAAAATTGATTAAAATTAAAAATATGTAAAAAAATATGAAAAGTTTTTATATCATTTGTTCAATCGTTTGAAATAGGTATGGTAAGTTTTTAAATCGTTCCCCAAATTGTGGTGACAATGTTTTTAGGAATAGTAAGAATGTTTTTCTATGGAAATACCTATGCTAAATATAAATGTTTATAAAAAAAATAATTTGAAAATAAAAAAAATAATTTTACCATTTTTGAAAACGAGGGGAAAGTTCCGGAGGCGATCGATCACATACATATCCAAAATCTATCAGTTCAAAATTTGTTCGATTCACCTTCGATTTTTCACAAAATACAATTAGATAAATAATCCTTATTTCAATAAAAAAAAATTATTCAAACCATATATCGTGCACAAAACTAACTGAAAAAAAAAATACAAAAACGTTGTAAATGTGTTTTCTACGCATGTGGTTACTGTAGTGCCAACTTACAAACTTGAAATAACAAGAAAAATACTATGAAAGTATGACAGACAAAAACAACAACAAAAATAAAGTGTAGGTATGAATAATTAGATTTAAGGTTAATACAAATAATTAATTAATTATTTATTATTATTTATAACTATTTTAAACTGTAAATTATAAGTAAGTATATTTTAAGCAGTTAAAATTAATATTTTAATGTTAAGTTAATATAATATAAAATATCAAGTCTTATTACTTTTAACAATCAATACCCAACGAAATAGTATATGTGTGTACTATATAAAGGTATAAATCAAAAATACTATAGGTACAAGTTATTGAATGCTTATTGGTTATTTCCCAATCTATTCATTAGCAAAATTAAAAAAAAATCGCATTACGACAACAAAGACCCCCGCTAATTTCTCATTTCCTCAAACTTATACTTCTTTTCCGTTTGTTTATTTTTCAATCGAAGAAACCGAAATCGAACACAAAACACACGTCAATCTTTTCCATGACTGACAGGGCCTTCCTAATAAACTCTACGCATAACTTTCACTCTGCAGCGGGTTAGTATTGTGTTTGAAGGGAATTTGCCGAATTATCACCCCCCTCCCCCCGTCCTCTTTGCGAGGTTTTCTGCTGCCAGTGCAGAGTATTGAATTTCGTCTAGAAGTAGTTGAAATGTTTTAGTTTTAGGAGGTTTTATACATATGTAGTACTCATCGAGTGTTTCACAAACAAAAGAGGCGAATATTTTGGCTGTAAACCAGGCATTTTCATATTTTTCAATTGTTTTTAACCCACAATTTAAATACATTTTTCACACATTTATTGATTTATCAGATCAAAAATTATTAGAAACGAGCTATAATTTATTACGTGTTTTAATTTATAAATTAAAAATACAACATAATATTTTATTACAACTAATAAATTTATAAAATTGTTTTTGTTTCCGATGAGCCTCGTAATAATATTTTAATTAAATTTCATATGTAATAGGATCATGTTTCAAACGAATGTTAAAATTACTAATAAAATAACAAAATAATATATTACATATTATGTAGGTAGGTATATTGAATTAAAAACAGCATATTGTATTAATTACAAAATGGTAAATTTATAAAAGTTAGAAGTCGCCAATATTGGAGGAGATAGGCAAACTCCTTAATCCCGTATTACAGACTGAGATCAAGGTAATCAAATTTTTTTTTTTAACTTTTAACAATGTTTTGACTTCTTTGCAATTATGGATATACTGTAATAAAAATCAGATTTGTTAACATGGGTCTGTAGTTTGTTCATTTTCTTGTGTAAAATTTTAACATAATTTTTGGTAGAAACCAAGGGTTGGTAATTATTTTAACAAAGGAAAATATTTTACCGAAATTTTTGTAAAGGTAATTTTGCGAGCATTTTGTTAATTTCAGGTTACAGATTATTTTGTTAATGTTTAACTAATTATTTCGTTGAAAAAGTACACGTGATTTCAGGCAGTCAATCAAAATATTTCCCACTGACAATACGCATCAACTGACTTCAGCATCTGCAACTTATGTTTCTGCTTACTTTATTTTAATTCGTAACAACTGTCCAGAGTGTTTATAATATATTACCAGAAATCTGTTATTTTTGTTATTCGTATTCCTGAAATTGGGAGATACAGTAAAGAGGGTTAAAGTTACGAAATACATAAGTAAATGTTGTAGTTGTACTTATAATTATATTGTACCAAATTTCTTTATAATTAGATGTTTTCAGAATGGCGTGTTATTTAATTGTATGTATGTTATTTTTGTGTTAATGTATGTAGGTATGTGTTAATTTTTTTGTTTAAAAAATTTATTAATAAAGCAACATTTATTATCAAAATTCTTTTCATTTAAAGTCCCAATTTCCAATAAATACTTTTGTTACTGGGTCCACAAAAAGGTTTGTAAAAATTACAAGAATTATGGTTGATTTATTGATATATGATTTTGTTATTAAATCCACAAAATGTTTCTTATAAATACAAACTACTTATTCAATTCGTTAAGAGATTACAATTGGTTGTAAACTTAACATAAAATTATGTGGACCTAACATTTGGTTAAAATTAACAAATATTTTTGTGACAAACTTTTAGAAACTGTCTTTTGACTAATAAAAAACTATGAGTGATTCTGAAAGCGAAGAAAATAAAGACGTTGACTAATCGTTTCTCTATAATACCAAATAATTCGAAATATCGCTATGAAACGACTTATACAACATTCAAGAAGTGCACTTCTTCAAACTAAAGCAAGAGAAATAAATTAAAAGAAAACAGTCCTGATGGCATAATAATTGAGAAATTGTAGTTATTTTGAATAAACATATCTAAAGACAAATTGTGGTATAGTAGATTACTTACCGCTAGCGATCAGTAAACCGGTAAAATCGTTTAATCGGTCGTACTAAACATTACTTAATACACGTAGGTAAAAGTATCTAAAATAAGCAATAAAATCCTGAAACACATGATTAATTAAAAAACAGAACTCTGACGAAAATTTAATCAGGACAGTGTTAATTAAAAACCCTTGCTATAGCATACGAATGAAATCGATCGAACGGCAAACCTCGAGAAAAAAACAAAACAACGCAACAAAATCATCGATGGAATTGGTAATTAAAAAGGGCTGATTAAAAGAAGCACCGACAAAAAGTAAACTAAAGAAGAATTAATAATAAATTCGGGAAATAATTAATCGTTACGTTCGACGCGCGAAATTGAATAATTAAAACATGATTTTCTGTCTCTACGTAAAGTGCGGGAGGGCAATTAATACAAATCCAATTATGTTAATCGAAAGCATCTCTACTAATTAAGCGTGTCGAAGTTTTGACAGTAATTGTTTTGGTGCCGCGCCGTATTATGGGCTTTATGGGCAAGTTGTATAGAGGTGTTGTGTTTGGGACAATAGTCGTAAAGAAACGCCTTATTGTGTTGTCCGGTAGGGGATTTTGGTGCTTATGCGGGGTTAAGGAAGGCTTATAGTGGCGTGCGCGAGCGTTGCCAATGATAATACCGGTTTGTCGTCGGCGATTGGTCGGCGAACGTCGACGCCCACTGTGAAGGGTCCTTTTCAAAGCGAATATTAGGGAGTATCTCCGACGGTTTTTCGCTTCGAAATCATCAGTACTCTGGCACTTTTACCAACGAACGGTCTAAACAGCCACTTAGTCCCGAAATCGCACCAACAAACATAAAACGAGTCCCCAGTGTGATTTGTCCACCGATAGCGGACCGAAAAGTGTATTTTAGTTTGTTGTTAAGTGATGTTGTTTTTTACCGTCGGCTAACCACCTTCGAGGCGTCAATCGTGCGGCAAACATGAACAATGAGACTTTAGAGAGCACCATCCACGTAACAGCGCCGAGCATCCTCAACAAGCCGTCGCAAACGATGCCGCAACGGTCCCCGTTCGCCATCCAGGAGCTGCTGGGCCTCAGCGACTCGCACCACCGCTCCCCGACCGCCGCCGTCTCGGCCATCACGCCCAACGTCTATCCGCAGCGGCACCTGCAGGGGCCCACCTGCTTCCCGTCGGAGCACGGCTTCAATCACCACCACATGACGATGGCCGCCTCCAGGATGGCCTATTTCAACGCCCACGCGGCGGTGGCGGCCGCTTTTCTGCCGCACAACATCGCGGCGGCCGCCGGCATGAACGCCAACGGGGCTCATTCCCCGGCGGCGGTGCTGGGCCTGGCCGGACACCAGTCTGCTGGCGCAGGTAAGACCTAACACCTTAGGCCTAACACCTAAAACCTAGATTAAAAGAAAAAAATGTGTCCTTTTTCCTATTTCGTGTTAGAAAGTAGCTTATCTTAGGTGGTTGTTTTTGCCAAAATTACAAAAAGAGTGACTGGCTAAATGGACTACAGTCCAAAGCCAAAAAAAAAAAAGAAAAAAAATAATATCAATGATATATCATTGGTATTGTAAAAAATGGCTTAATCATTCATACAATATTAATTTGTTTATTAGATACTGATTTAGGTATCTTCTTTAAGTTCATGCATGATTTACCGGTTTAATTTATTTCTCTTGGTTTCTTCAAACCATGGTCCACTTCTTGAAAGTTGTATAAGTCTTTTCATAGCGATATTTCGAACTATTTGGTATTATAGGGAAACGATTAGTCAACTTCTTTATTTTCTTCGCTTTCAGAATCACTCATAGTTTTCTATTAGTCAAAAGACAATTTCTAAAAGCTTGTCACAAAAATATTTGTTAATTTTAACCAAATGTTAATCCAGGTCCACATAATTTTATGTTAAGTTGTTATCTGTTAACGAATTGAATAAGTAGTTTGTATTTATAAGAAACATTTTGTAGATTTAATAACAAAATTCTATGTCAATAAATCAACCATAATTCTTGTAATTTTCAAAAAGGACCTTATTTTTACAAACCTTTTTGTGGACCCAGTAACAAAAATATTTATTGGAAATTGGGAACATAAATGAAAAGAATTTTGATAATAAATGATGCTTTATTAAGCATGAACTTGAAAAAAACCTAAAATTAGGATCTAATAAAACTTCTTTAAATAATAATTTATTAAATGTTAAAAAAACAGACTTCGTTCCTCTGGTGAGATTTGTGTTTAAAAGTTCCAAATTCATACAAACATACTGGAATTTAGATGACTTGACTGCTAAAAAATTGTTAAATATTTAGTTTTTTTTTTCTTCTTAATGGCTATTAAGAAGAAAAAAAAATAATATATGCCTAGGCATTGATTGAGAAATTTTTTCTCAACGTTAAAAGTATGAACCTAAAAGTTTTAGATCAACCATATAGTTATATAATTTAAGGAAAAAAACTGAAACTCTTGTACCTAAAATTTGTTTAAAAAAGTTTACAAAAACTAGAACAATATGGTATAATATTGGAAAATATTCTGTTTTCGAAGTACCAAACAATTTGGTATTCAAAGTTCTTAAAAATATAAAATAGGCTTTAAAAAGTATCCTTATTTCCTACTCAATTTCATTAAAAAATCCTTTAATTCATTTTGGGTTTTTTTTATAGTAAATTTTGATATTTCTCAAGAAACACTAAATGTTGCAAACGGTTTGCAACAAAATGTTTTTTGTTTCTTCCAATTATTTTAAATCCAAAACGATATTTTTAAATTCCTAATATAAAAAGTCAATTTTTGTAGTCTTCTTCATTTTTTCGTAAACCCAATCCGAACTGAGAACTTTGTAAAATAATGAGTAAAATTAAAAATAAGTTCAAAGCGTTGCGAATGTTATTTTCGGCAAGAATTGTTTTTGCTAAACATCACCACTTTTCATTGTTAATTTTTTTATATTGGGCCTAGCTTTATCTATTTTAAACAATTAAATTGTATATAAAGTTTCACTATTCTGTGTTAAATAAAAAATGTTCAAACGAAACGGCGAAAAATTTAAGTGTCCAGACTTCTGTTTGGTTCTGGGTACAGATATATGTAATTAATATCAAAATTTACTATAAACTAATATGCTAAAATATATACTATTTATATATATTAGGGTGATTAAAAAAATAGTATTTTTTTTCTTCCGACAAAAAATTTGTTCTCAGGCACCTCAACAAAGCTCTTATTATAAATAGGGTAGATCCTCCACATATCAGAGTGCGTCCATTTTTTATTTAGTCCCTTATAAAATTGACCATATTTCATTATTTATCAATTGTTTAACTAAATCGTTATACATATTTTCGTAGGAAATTGAATGCTCTACAAAAAAGGTCTGATGTGTTTAGGCGATTACTCTAACCATTTAAAAGATATTCAGGACAAAGTTTGAAGAATTTATAAAAAAAAATGTTTTTAATAAAATTGTTACTCATTGCAAAATAATTAATATTAAGAGCTCAAATTTGGTGAATACTTTCTTGAGGTGCCAAAAAACCTAATTTCAATTACAATATTTTCATTAACAAAAGACATCTATTTTTTTATATAAAATTTTACTATTTTTCCTATATTTATATTACTACCATAAAATGATATATGGAAATATAGCAAATACCCTAAACTTACAATTTTGATAAAAAAAAACCTGATTCAAATTTTTTTATAAACAAGGTCATATAAACCACATAATTCCTATTATGTATCGATTTGTAAAAATTGCCCTTAACAGTGTCAATTAGTCTAATATCTCAACCAATTCAGATTTACTAAAACATATTCCATTTTGAACAACTGCATTTAAGATAGACACAAATGATTAAAAATGAAGCCACCGAAGCGTGCAGCGATAATTACGACGCGATGCTGGTTTAAGATAATGCCAACAAATTAATTATCCACTTAGGATTTCCTGTTTATTTAAACACCACAGCACATGTGTCTCCTGGTTCGAAATTTTGTTGTAATTGTGGCGCGAATTCGCCCAGTCATCTAACTACCTCGTCATTATCAAGTTTTGTTGTTTTTTAATTTTTGTTCGAGGGCTTCGTGGAATGGAAGTGGTACCTGTTAAAGGTACCATGAGAAAATATTAGTTGAGTTGATTAGACAGAGGGTTAAATTTGGAAAAGCTAATCCAGAGTATTCCGGCCCAAAACGTTGTCAGACTTTATTAGGTGGGTTAGAGCAGTTAAAATTACGATATCCAGACTACATAAACGCTATTAATTCCAGACACATGCACGTACAAAGTGGAGATACTGTCGGTTGTAAAATTGCCCTTTTCCTGATTTGCGACCCAGCTCCAGGCAACGCCAGCCGCCGAAATGAAATTCCGAATTAAGTAAAAGCACTATGCAAAATCGCAATTAAGCCTGGCAAGATGGCTTATTGTTGATGCAAAATGCCTCGCATTCCCCAAACCGTTATAATTATTATTCTTCCAGTATGTTGTGCTCCTCCTTGTACCACCGTAATTGTCTTGCATTTTAGCCGCTTGGTGGACACGTTTATGTGTGTTTTTTGGCTTGTAGACTATTTAATAGGTTTCTTGTTTCCATATTGGATAGAATCTTTCCTTTCGTTATTAAAAGTTTTTCTCATTCCTCACAGTTGATGAGTATACAGGCCTGGATATTTTTTACAAAATTCATCCACATAATCAAAAAGCAGATTTTTCTTGGTACACACTACAAATTTGCTTAAAACACTATTAAATCTGTAAAATCGTGTATTTCTGAAGACCCTGTATCTCCCACCAATATTGCAGAATTAACGTAAAATTTCCAGAGGAGACTAATGAAAACTAGCTCTTTCAAATGCTTCTAATATTTTTATAAAAACATTTAATTTTGAAGGTATTGAAACATAATATTAATTATTGAATTTTTCCTTGTATTATTAATTAAATTAATCAATGTGCATCGTTATTCCATTGTTATTGATCCGCGGTCGGGAGTAATAATAATTATAACATCGTTAGCATTTGGTTATTCAATAAGATATTTCGTATAAACTCGTCCATTATACCAAAGATAATGAGGATCAATGGCTCATTAAGATTCGTGCTACCGTTCATCTAAACTAATTGGTAATTTGAGGTGGATCCGTCCGATTGGCACCAGGTGGCGCGCCGGTCGCTTCATCCACCCTTTTCCAGGATCCATATGCATCCCTCTCGCTTTCTCCTTCGCACCCTTTCTTCCAGAGTTTGTCCAGTCTTTGTTCAGGACGATGTTGGGTCCCAATTAAGGGAGTTTTTGGATTTTCGAATCAAAAAATGATAATGGTTTTTAATTAAGGGTATTTTTGTTTGGGTTTTTTAATAAAAAATAAAAAAAAACATCAACAAATGATTTTTTAGTTTTTTTATTTTTATTATGATTTTTTTAATTTTGAATATTTTGTTGTGAACCACATCATGTGGTATATTTAAGGTATTAAAAAAAACAAAAGAATAATAATAATTGGCCTTATTTTTTACTTTATTTCGTAGTAATAAAAATAAAATTATTTTATTAATTGAATTTGTAAAATTGCTGTGAATTTCATAGTGTCAAATAAAATAAAATATGATTCTAAATCGTAAAGTTTGAATATAGAGCTTAATTTTAATTTTCCGCCGTGACAATTTTGGAGTTTTTTTTAGTTACATTGGCCACGGTTTGTTACTTACGAAAAACTTCCTCTTCTTTTTGCACCCAAAATCAGCTTAACAGTTACAGTCTGTAAGTTACAGAAAAATTTAAAATAACAGAGGTTGAGCGTCACGTTTTTCAAGACTACACACCTTTTTAATTTTTTTTTTAAATTTCCCAGGAAGGAAAACACTTTTCATGACCTTAAATATTCAAAATTATAAGCTTTTTTTAATAAAGTGTACTATTAAAAAAATATGAGGCGCCGTTTGTGCCATAATTATAAATAAAAAAATATGTTAATATAAAACAATATTTTAAAAATAAATAAAAACAATATTTTAAAAATACCTATATAAATGTAAATCAAAAATTTTATATAATAATATGCGTAAATATATTTTATCAATAAAATTTATATATATATGTATATATATAAATATGTATATATAAATATATATTATCACACAAAGTTATTTATATTTGCTTAACCGTTATCATTTATATTTTTAGAAGTTTATCCATATATATTTTTAGCATGTGCCATAATATACAGTTGGTTGCATACGCAGCGGGCGCTTACTAAAGAAGTTGGCGTCTTTTCACATTACGAGTGGCAGCACTGGAAGGACATTTCAACTGTCAAAGTTGTTCATGTTTAAACAAAAGTGATTTTAAAACACTGTTTTGCGTCATTTTGCGTTTTCGTGAAACTTAAAACCAGAATATCAACAATATGTCATTATCTCCGTAGAAACTCCAAGTTATTAAATAACAAAACAAAACATATGGTATATAATGCGTATACTAACTCTCACTTACTGTATCTACCTGCTTTCTGGGGCCAGGCAAGAAAAAAGGACATAAAAACCATTCAAACTACACAAAATAAAATTCTAAAACTTCTATTTAACAAATCACCCAGAACATGTACAAAAGAGCTTTATAATGAACTACAAATTTTAAACGTAAGTGAATTAATTAAAATGGACAGTGTCAAAATAATATATAAAATTAAAAATGGTCTGATTTGTACTGATGTAGAATTAACTAGAAATTGTGATATTTACAAATATTTTACAAGAAATAACTCGCAGTATTATATAGCAAATACAAATACAAGTTTTGGCAAAAGAAGAATAACCCAAACTGCCTTGAACACTGAGAGAACAGTTTATTAACAATTAACTAGATTTATCAATAACTAATAAATGCTTTATTCGATTATGGCGGAATAAACATTTATTTAGGACAAACAACGCATTGATTAAAATTGTTTAAATAAATCTTTTTATTAAAAAATAAAGAAAAATTTATAATAAATATGTTTTTTTGTTAATAAATAAATGCTTGTTTATAATAAATAAAGATTAATTTATAATAAATGTGTTTTATTTGTGATAAATAAATGCTTGTTTATAATAAATACTAAAATATTTAGAAGACATAAAACTTTATTTGTAAACCCTATACTTTAATTCACTATAAATGTATCCAGCAAGTCGTTGAATCCATTGCTTCCTAAAAATTTGCATAGCTCGTCCATGGTTTGCAGATCTTCCATGCATGTTTGGATTTTTTAATAATCGCATGCGATACACTGCAGATACACTAGCCGGCACACAGGAAAGAGCCGGTATTTTACACTGGCACTATAGGTACAATTTAAATTAATGCTATTACAAAAAGATTGCAAACGAAACACTGATGCATAGATACAAAATAAATACAAAATAAATAACAGTGCAAACAACAGAATCACTAAACTTAACAGTACACAGAACAGAATCAGTACACCATACGCACGCGGTATACACCATGCACTATTCGAGAAACGTCTATGCTGTTTTGGTGCGTTTTGACAGAAGTTTGAGTACAGTAAACAAGAAATAAATATTTATTCATTGTTAATATTGATTCCTACCTAAAAATAAATTCGAAATTTATAATAAATAACTTTTAAAGATCGCCTAAGCAAATAGGTATTTATTATTCCCAAATTTGCATTATTAATAATAAACATATGGGCAACAAACAAAGTATTTGTTTCTGCTAAATAAAATATATTACGCAGATTATTAATAGTTAAAAAGGTTTATTAACAATAAATTTACTTTATTTATTGTAAATAAATGCTATCCAAATAAAGATTTGTTAACTATAAACTACACTTTTTCTCTCAGTGAATTGGTTTAATGAACTTCCGAAACATATTAAGTTGCAACAAAACCTAAAAGCTTTTTCTTCACATGTTAAGGACTATTATATGAAATTAAGAAAGAGATTTGACTCATGTGTAAAATTATATAAACAGATGTTATACTCATAGTTTTGTTATATTTATATTTCTACTCATATTTTCTGTGATGTTAACTTAGGAATATTTACTCATAAATTTACCTAGTTTGTTTATAGTTTTTGTGATATATAAGTACCTACCTGATATGGAATCTTGTATTCTTTTAAGGTTAATAAATAAATAAATAAAAAAAAAAGGTTGTGGCGAGTTTTTTTATTAGGTTTCTAATATAAACTTTATAGCATAAATTTTATAATACAAAAGGTGCGGTCGTTGAGTTATAAATCTGATTTTGGGAATTACAAATTCTTATATGGAGGTTCAACAATATTTTGCACAATTAGTTGATGATGTAGGCCAAATGGAAGACCTAATAATGCAGAATAATATTGATATTCGACTTCTCGAAGAAGGTGCTGTTAAATTGGAGAATCACTGCTAAACTTTTGCTGTCTTTATGGGTATTTATCAAGCTATTGATGCTGAAATTCTTCATAATTTAAACAAAGCTTATGGAATAATTTGGAATTTATATTATACTGTTGACTGAACGTTTTATCCAAAGAACACCTTTGCCTTATATCTATGAATTGAACCAATGTATGTAACACGCCACAAACATACAGGTATCACGAGAACGCAAAAGTTTTGCGGCAAAACACAACACAAAACGCTTGTTGCACTTTTGTTTTAAAAATGTGACAGACTGTCACTGACAGTTGAACTGTTCTTCCAGTGCTGCCACTCGTAATGTGAAAGACGCTAACTTCATTCGTAAGCGCCCGCTGCGTATGCAACCCAGTATATATTATGGCACATGCTAAAATATATATGGATAAACTGCTAAAAATATAAATGATAACGGTTAAGGAAATATAAATAACTTTGTGTGATAAAATATATATAAATAAATTTTATTGATAAAATATATATATATATATCTCAATTTATAATTTTATTTCTTTAAGTAATATTTTATAATTTTTGATTTACATTTATATATTTTTAAAATATTGTTTTATATTTATTAATTTTTTATTTATAATTATGGCACAAACGGCGCCTCATAAAAAAATACTAAAAATAACTATAAATAAATATAACACCGTCCGCAACTGTCATATATTTTTTTGTATATTCCTTTATTATTTTATTTAACAAAATAAGCCGTTTTTCTATGCATAATAATTTATTTAAATAGTGTCAAGATATTATTTTCCTTTATTTTAGATCTTTTAAGTGTTTTTTTAGATTTTAGAAACTTTTTTTAAAACTAATTTAAATCATTGATTTAAATTTGGACTAATTTTGCTAAAGCCACTATGTTTTGAAGTTATTACATTTTATATCTGGAACTTTTTTTTATTGTTTGATTTTATACACGAATTTAATTTAGGCACAGGCAAG